TTATTTGTTTTCCAATTATTTGTTTTTTTTTTTGTATTTTTAACTTTTTTATTGACCTTTTTCGAAAAAATGTAAAATGTATTAATATATTAGAGTATATTACAATTTTGATAATTTATAGTTTTGTAATTTTTTTTATTTTTTTTCAAGTAAATAAAATAGTTATGTTTATATTTATAATTTCGGTCAAACTTATTTTCTTTTTATTCTTTTTTTCTTTAGTGTTATTATATTTATGTTACGAAAAAATGAAAATTAAAAAAATATTAAGGCTTTTCCCAATTATACGTTAAAAATTTAGGGTTTTTATAATATTAGTCCCGTTAACATCCGTAAACGTAGCGAAAGTCATGAAAGGTAGTTAAGAAACGTAGGGAGTTGCAATGTAATAAACTGGTGAGAGGCAAGCAGGAACATGTAGGGTGGGTCCCACTTATTAATAGACAAGTAAATAAATAATAAAACATATATATGAAAGTAAAAGTGTAAAACCATCTTTCAATAAAACTTAAAACACAAATTATATGGAACTAAAACCACAATCAAACATGCCAACAGACCTTGAATATAAAATTGATAGTTTAGAAACTATTTGACAAATACAAAGACCAAATTTACAGTTGTCTCTAAATTAAAGCCTTGTAGTTATCATGTAGACAAATTGGTGAAAAAATGTGTTGAATGTTTTAGTACTTCAATAAATAAATAAAAAGGTCTACTAAAAAACTTGAGCAAAATCTGCAGGATATTTTACCAGTCTAACTTTCTATTTACACATCAAACTTTCATAAACAAATCCTAAAAATCTTGCTTACAAACGAACAATTCTGAATGTAGGTAGGGAATTTTATTTAAAAAAAAAACACAAATGTAACTTCAGCAAGAAAAAAAAAACAAAAAGACTAATTTGCCCTGGGAGCAGCCCACTCAACACTCAAGATAAGGTTATCATAACCATACCCATTAAGCTTAGCAATAGCTCTTTCACCCTCTTCCCTCCTGACAAAATTAACAAACCCAAACCCTCTGCTCATTCCAGTCTTCTGATCCATAGCCACATAAACCCTAGACACGTTCCCAAAAGGTCTGAACAGCTCCAGCAAATCAGGCTCACGGGTGTCCTCTGAAAGGTTATTCACCCGAACCGAGTTCTCATCATTCCTACGTCTCATGTCTGCACCAGCAGTGGTTCGAACCGCACCCGCACGCATCGTGGGTGGGACATATGCACCCTTGGTTGCACCCGTGGCTGATGAGTCTGAAGGGTTTGGGTTCTCTGTGAAGAACTCAGTGGGCTGAGCCAAGTCCTTGTAAGGGCACTTTGAGGTCCAGTGGTCACCTTTCTTCCCACATGTCCTGCATACCATCAATACAGCTCCTCCTTTAGACATTTGAGCTAATGGATCTCCAGATGCATTTCCGTCTTCAGCTTTTGTACCTAAAAGGTTGAAGTTGGCATTAACAACAAAGATCACAATCAGTATATCTAACAGGCAGCAGTGAAGATCTAAGTGAACTGAAACAGTTGATCTAGGTGATAGACCTGATGAAGAGAACTAGGGATAGATGAAAATAAAGTTGTTCAACTTCACATGTATTAGCATAACTTTATGACGGATAATTATAAAGGTATGTTACAATTTTATGATGTTTCAGATCTATGAATGACGTACCTGGAGCCCTAGGGCGTTCAAAGATGATTTCCTCTGTTGAAACCATGGTGAGTCTGGCGCCGACGTCCTCTTGAACGGCATCGCCGAACTTAGGCCAAGAACGCGCCTCCACGGCGCGCTTGCTGAGCCGAGCATTGGCGAGTTTACGGACGCGCGTGGTGGTGGTAATCTTAACCCGATTTCCTTCATCGTTGAATTTGTACTCGAATATCTTCTTCAAGCCGTGTTCGTCAGGTCCAATAACCTGTTTCGGTGGCAACAAATAGTCATAGTCGCCACCATCATCTTCTTCCTCCAATTCGCCCCATCTGGGTTTTTGAGTCATGTCTGCGAAGCTGCTAGAATCGATTTGCGTTTGTTGCTGCGGGAAAATTAAGGTAAGAGAGTCGGAGTGGTAATGTGAATAAGATGAACTGATGAAGATGTAATGAAGTCGGTTGCTGTGATTCTTTGGGCTTCAAACTCTGGGCAGTTTGTTAAACCTGAGTTTGGACTTTGGTTTTGGGCTTTACGCGAGACAATGAGAGATTGAGAGGTAATTGTTTTCGCTTATACGTGAGCTTGAACATTTATAACTATTTTTTAACAAGAGAATTAATTTTCAAACTGGAATTATTTCATGAGCTTGATATCTGAAAATGCTTAATATCTATAAGCTTTGAATTAAATATGTTAATTTGAATTTTCTTGAGTTATGTTGATCTATATAAGTTGTTTCAAAGATATTGAAATGAAACTTTGAAGATGTAATCTCAAAAAGTGAAATATTGTCAATATTGAATTTTTAGTCATTGTCATAAAACTTTGAAATATTTGTTTGTGGAAAAAGAATTTCAAACAGACTTTTAATAAAAAGTATATTGAATTTTAACTAAGTTTTATAATTATAATAAAGTATCTAAAACTTATCTAATATTTTTATCCTTCTAAATTTTGATCCTATAAAATATTCTATTATATTTTAATTTTGAAGATTCCCACGGTTCCTCATTTTGGTCGGTAAAAAAATCCTATAAAAATATAGGACTAATATCATAAAAGTCCTATATTTTTGCCACTAAATTGGAGAAAACCCTGATTTTAATTTTTCGTTGACTGTAGACACAATATTTTCGTGGAATTATCACTTGAGAGCTAATACCCGGTGACGAGTAGGTAATCTGTTCTATCCGGTCATCACTAACCTATTCCCTAGCCATCACCTTTCGCGAACCATCACTGATAAAGGGTTTCATGCATTCAACAAGGGTTTGATGCTAAGAAGGGTTTCACAGTCCCCAATTTCGCATTTTGAAGCTCTAAAATCGTTGGTGAAGTAAGGTGGAGTAGAAAGGTACGTGTATGGAAACAAGAAATTGATGCTTCTGATGGTGGTTATCTTCGTCTATGGAGTATGTGTAACATCCCAAAATTTAGAGCAAAAAATTTTATTTTTAAATAAGTAGTTATAAAAACCAGTAGTATGAAACATCAATAGTGTCAACTCATTTCATAATCAAAAACCAGTATTTCAAATAACCCAAAACATGTCATAGAAAAGTATTATCAGAGTACAGCTTCCAAAGATCTCATAATGCGGAAATCATAGTGTGATGCTCTGCGATCATGCTGGATCCTTTCCTTTTGAAGAAGAAGTACCTGAAACCAAAACTGTAAACCGTAAGCACGAAGCTTCGTGAGTTCCCCCATCATACCACATAAACACATACTGCCAGGCATATCTGGGTGTCCGGCCTACCCTGTCAGGCATATCTGGGGTGTCCGACCTACCCATGTCAAGCATATCTGGGTGCTCAACCTACCCTGTCAGGCATATCTGGGGTGCCCGACCTACCCATGTCAAGCATATCTGGGTGCTCGACCTACCCTGTCAGGCATATCTGGGTGCCCAACCTACCATCTGGTTTATTTCAACCGATTACGGGGTCTATCTCACCCCCTACTATTACCACATAATAACATATCATAACATACTGTCAGGCATATATGGGTGCCCGACCTACCCTCTGGTTTATCTCAACCGGCTACGGGGTCTATTCCACCCCTCCTACCACTACCACATAACACATAGCATACAAGCACATAAATCTCTACAGATAGTGGCATACCAGACAATTATCACAAAGACAATCATCTCTACTATAAACAACTACTAGTGAGCCGGCCTTGGTGCCTTAGACTCACTGCTACCGGGAAGGTAACTCACCTCACACTGCTGGAGTTCATTGCATGAAATTCTTAGTTGCTGCCTTGGCAACTGCTCGAGCTATCAATACCAAAATATCACTCATTTAGCAATTGGGTCCCAAACCATGATCCATAATCCAAACTTGGGGTGAAATGACCATTTTACCCCCGGCCCAATAAGATTTATAACTAAGGCCCAAGCCCATAACCAAACAAGTCCAAAACTGTAAAATCCATAAAAGCCCACTAATGGCCCAATTTTTCAAATTAGGCTCAACCCCTCTAATAGGCCTTACCCTAAGGCCCAAACATATTTTGAGCCCAACATATCTGATTTCTGATGGCCCACAAAAAGCCCAAAGTAGCGAAATCCAATAAATGGCCCAAACTGAGGCCCACTTGTGTGAAACCCACTCTGACTGAGTATGCAGGGCGTACTTAGCTGTACGCAGTGCGTACCGAGTTCGTGACTTGTACGCTGCGCGTACCTGCTTGTAAGCCCAACACACTCCTCTGTTAAGTCTTTTTTGCTATTAAGCACTTAATGCTTCGAACCAAGGGACCAAATCACAGATCTGAGCTCTACTTAACGTCTAAACCCATAAAGTCACTGACTTGGTGACTTTGCATGCCCCTTATAAGCCCAAACTCCAAAAATGACATTCTACTTCCATGAAAGTGACCTTAACTCTTGCATGAGCACATCTAGACTTTCAAGATGGCAACTTTCTGTCTTAAGGACTCAAATAGCACCAAGGGTGGCAACCCTAAGCCTAGGAAACGGATTTGAACCATAAAACTTCATCCTTGGGACCAAAAAGGTCCAAAAACCCAACACAAGAGATCTAAGGAAATAACCACCAAGTTTAAGACTTTATACCTCAAATGAGAGTCAAAAGCTGATGAGGTTCTGGATCTAAAAGCTCCATCTTCTTCAATGAATCTTCAAGAGTGAACACCTTCTTCAAAAGCACCAAAAGACTCTTCTAATGGCCTTCTAAGCTCCAAAAACACACAAGGAAGGATTAGGGTTTCGTGAGAGCTGCCTAAGGGTGAGAGGGAGGCTGGTCTTTAAGGCATAATGTTCCTTATATAGTGTCAAACCTTAAAATCTAGGGTTTTGGTCTGAAGGGAGTACGCCTCGCGTACTCCTTTGTACGCCCGACGTACTCATGAACCACCAGCGACCAATCACCTTTGTACGTTGGGCGTACCCAACCAAGCACGTGCATGCATCCTTGCATGCATGGGACTGATATGCAAGCTTTTCCCTCCAAGGGCCAATTTTGTCAGTAACTTCAAAATTCCATAACTCACTCACCCTAAGTCCGTTTCCAACGAACCTTATATCCATGAAAATGTGGCGAGAAGACCTACGCTCCTAACAACACACCCAAGCCTTAGAACCTTCCGAATAAAACCCAAAACCCATAAAAGACCGAGATATCAATTTATAGTCATACCTTGGCTTCCGAAGACACAATCGAATACATGGATCACTTAAACCATGAAAACTATATCTGAAATGGGCTAAATCCTTCCTTTCCCGGAGCCCTAAACTCCATGACAACTGGTGATTGGGCCGCAGCCCCAAGCAACAAGGCAAATCTGAAACCGAGTGTTACAGTATGGAGTTCCAAGTTTGAGCTAACAAGTTGTTTTTTTATGAAACAAATGGCTTCTACTTTTGGAACTAAGAAGCCTAAAGGGACTAAGCTCCCTGAGAAGACATACCTTCCAGAATCTGACTCCGATGATGAAGCATTTGACTTTAGCTTCTTGGATTTTTCTGAAGAAACTTTCAAAACTCCCTCAAAACTATGTGATGATACTTTTCTTAACTTATTGTGTGATGAAAACATATTAAGGAGGAGTATTGATGGAATGGTAGAAGTGTTGGATAAGGTGTCTAAGTCCATAACTATTTCTGATATGTACTTGACCCGACCCGGCATGGTCCAT